CCTTAAACCCTAACCCTAAAACCCTAAACCCTAAAAGCCCTGAAACCCTAAAACACTAAACCCTAAACCCTATTCTCGAAACCTGCCGGAGCCCCGCGATTACTCACATCCTTTTTGAAGAAGAAGAAGAAGAGGAACGGCTTGGGGTTGGGTTTTAGGGTTTAGGGTTTAGGGTTTAGGGTTTTCGCACGTTCAGCTGTAGTAGAGCAGTGTGTATAGGGTTAAGGGCTCAAGACTGCTATGTTCAGTTGTAGTAGCGCACGGTTCAGGATTCTTTCCTTAATAACCAATGAGGAATCGCAAGGAATCTGCCATTCCTTTGCAACGGGCCCCTCATAATGTTAGCAGCCCTAATGCCCAATTCCCTAAACCCTATAATTACGCTACACATCGCTATTTTTACCGCAAACGTCCTAAACCTAAACTCTGCCCTACCCTCGCCGAGGTGTGGGCACTGCTTCCTTTAGCTCCTTCGAGGCCCCAGTTCTCTGACTCTGGGCTGGTAGGAAGGAGGTTTTGAACCAATTGGGGTTTGGGATTTCGGGTTTCGGGTATAGGGTCCAGGGATTTGGTGAAACTATAGTTTTTGATTTCGGGTTTCGGGTATAGGGTCCAGGGATTTGGTGTAGGGTTTAACGTAGACCCTGATGAATCAACCCCTTACGTTGATAAGCATTGCAATAGGGATCCTAGCATGAAGTGTCGCAAAGGGGTTTATTCATCAGGGGTCTACGTTATTGCAGGATTGTGTGCGCATGCTTTGCAGGGTTTCTAGAAGGTGTAGCGGAGTTGACGAGGAGTTTTGTCACGACAGTAGCGCGATGTGGTTGGTCTTGCTTCGTGGCTACTGCGTAACCCGAAGTCCGGTTTCGGGACGACAGCCTTGGGTGTAGGGAAGGGGGCCGAAGGTTCAGATGACTGTATGTAGAACAGATTAGTGTAAGTGAATCCTTTTATTTGGGGGGTTCTAGGGCCAGGGTTTCTCAATCAGGTTCCTGCGTTAGTGAAATGCACGCGCACCTCGTCTTCTCCCCCAAAACTGCTCCTGCACCCTGAGCCCAAGTTAGTACCACACAAGAAGACGGAGAGGAACGAAAATGGCCTCGCATTTCCTCAGGGGCTTCGGATCCTTGCGCATTCTGGCATGCGTGGCGTGTGAATTTGGTAGGTCCTGAGCAGCCCTGAACCCTAAAACTTAAAACCCTAATGCCCATAGCCCGTAATCCTAAGACCCTAGACCCTAACATCCTAAATCCCAGAGCCCAAAGACCCTCAAAACCTAAAGCCTCACTACCCTAAAACCCTAAACCCTAAACCCTAAACCCTAAACCCTATAAGCCCTCCCTTAGTTTCGAGGTTCGGTCACGCCAGGTTCGTGCTATCGGATCAAGGTCTCTTCTTGAGCTGGGCAGCCCACTCTGCGACAGGGGCCTAGACAACTACGGTTTCGGGGGCGTACGATGCGTCAGTAATAATGGAGACAGTAAGGGGATGTTAGAATAAATAGTCGGATTCCTCCCTCACAGTCCCGTAGTAGTGATACGTTTCGAGTTGATTCTAATTTTTCAGGCCCCATTAGGCAGCCCACTCCACAGCCCATGCTATGCGCCACCTTTACATCTCCCTGGCATGTGGTGCGTGGACGGTTGCTTGCACGGACGGTCCTGATAGTAACCCTGAAAGGAACGGAAAGGGACGCTGCGGTGGCCTGTTATTTTTCGTGCTATGTTTCGATTGTTGATTTATCGGAACGGGCCCATGCTCACGTAATAGTAACCCTTCTTATAGCATGCTTATAGTATATTATAAACCCTAAACCCTAAACGCAAGGTTATTTGCGCGGACGAGCCCAATCCGTGTGAAACGCGCTACTTGGAGAACAGTGGCTTCGGTGGCACCGGATGCCGAGTCACCCTGCAGTCCTGTGCTTAGTGCTCTGCGGTTTAGGGTTTAGGGTGCTCTGCGTCATAGGTCCGAAAACCGATGAATGCAAGGGCAAGCACGAGACCTTAATGGAATATGGAAGCCTAAAGAATTATCAATGTTCTTCCCTAGGGTTCCATATTATACTTACATATACTATACAGGAGCCCAAAACCTTATTCTGATGATTAGGCTCCTACATTAGGTAGATGTTTGCAGAGCGCCCTAGTTTTTCCCTACAGCAGCACGAAGGTCCGGCGAATACTACAGCCTCCCCTTCACTCAGATTGAAGAGATCTTTGCAGCAGCCGTGCATGCCCTGGAAGACTGTCGAGCGATAGGGGGGTTGCTTTGGTCTGTCGAGTTCCCGACGAACACATCGGGCACCAACTCGAGGGCAAGATGGGAGAAAGCTACATTTTTGCGTCCCATGGGCATCGGTTTCTGTGCCCCGGGCATCTGTAAGAGGCGGCAATTGCCACCGCTCGTAGAGGACTACGTTTCCAACTACATGGGTTTCCAAGCAGAAATCCCTCCACAACGCATGAAATGTGCGGAGCTTAGCAGTTGGAAAGACTTTAACATTCAGTTTCTAGGTAGTGCTTTGGGACATTTTATATTTTCTCTTATTGGGCTTAAGAGGATCTTACCTACCAATATTGTTCAAAGGCTTTCAAAGCACATCCTAGGTTTGCAGTGATTGGCCTGGACCATTGTGGGACAACCTCCGCTCGGATGAATTTAGGGTTGCATCCAGAGGTGGAGTTCTCTAAGTCACAGGTTTCTTCGCTCTTTGAAGACACATTCTTCACCTGGGGCCTTAAATGGTCGCTACTTCCACCAAGATATCTGCAGAAGGGTTGGCTAGAGTTCAACGATGCGCGACGGCAACGTTCATCTTCAGTGCTTGGAATCCACAATGCGATCCTGTGGAGTCATTCCGTCGCCCGCCTGGCCCTGCGCCAAATGAATCCAGGTCTCCCAGAAGTACCTTTTCTGGCCTTTTTGCTTTTTGGTTTCCATCTTAAAATCTTAAGCCGGAACAAGAAGACAAAGGCTACCCTATTAAGGCAAAGGAGACCTCATATAGAACCCTTACAGGACCTCTATAACACCTTTAAGCCCTCCCAAGACCCTCTACAGCAGCATGGGGGGACTACGGAATTCTCGATCTGTGCTTCAAACCCTAAATCCTAACTAAGCCCAAAGGAATGGTCGATAATGTCAACCCTAAACCCCTGCTGTAATTCATTGAGAACTTTGGGGTTGAGGAGGGTGTAGGGTTTAGAGGTTTAGGGGTTTAGGGTATAGGGGCTTAGGGTTTGGGGGTTTAGGGTCGGCCTTGCTGTGAGGAATGCTCGACCTCTGCTGATAATTTGTTCGCCAGCTCGCCGCTTATCATCCATGGCGATGCTTGGACACATGGGGGCTTCTCAAGGTCCAGCTGCTGGGCTCTTGTTTGGAAGCTTCGGGTTCAGGGTTTAGGGTTTATAGGGTTAGGGCTTGAGATATATTCCCTAGTGTCAGAATCCATGTACCTGTGTAAAATACAGGAGACGCTTAGGCCTTGAAGACATTCCTATATATAACGACCTCAGGGCACCGTATATACTCCATGGGCACAGGGACCCTTTGAGCAAGATAAAGCACCTAAACCCTAAACCCAAAGCCATTGACAAGAGCCCAGGAGACCGTAACTGTCGCCGACCTAATCCGAGATGCCGAAGCCGACGTGGCTTCAATGTCAATAGCCCATCTGAAGGAGTGGCGACGCCTCTTCGGTGATCTTTTGCTCGTCATCCACCAAGAAGCACTGATGGAAATAGACACCTACAACAGGGTGTTTCCTCTTCTTGGTTTGGGTCCGATGCCTGCAGGCATATCACTGGGCCGGTTCCACGTCAGCAGCCACCACTGGAAGAGCCGCCTGTGCCACAGCAAAGACCAGGCATTGCTCCATCAGCTAAATCGCACGCTACGGCCCTGGATGATTGCCAGCCATCAGCTTTTGCAGCAATCAAGCCAAGATATCCCATCTTCACTTTGGCAGCTGCAGGGGCATTGTAACGACGGCCCAGATTCTCGTCTGAAAGTTTCCAGTGGAGTTCGCCGACTGGGACTTCTGTCCTAAGCTTCCCCGGCCCGGTTTCGGGACGAAAGATGGAAGCTGAGTTGTAAGGAGAGTGACGGGCTCGGAGCCGTGAATCTGGATTTAGGATTCGGGGCCTTAAGGGTGGGCTTGGTTTTAATTGCGGATTGAAGGTTTGACATTTTCGGGCTTAGGGTGCAAGGCAGCATCATGCGAAAAAAGGCGCGTCTGAATCTTAGACAAGCAACTTCTTCTCCCGAGGACAACTACAGTGTAACCACAGGTACCCAGGCTTTCGTGTGAAACGATGCATGCAAACCGAAGGCTGTGCTTCCTGACATATAGTAAACAGACCAAACACAAACCCGCCTGATCCCTAAACTTGACAATCCAAAAGCGCACGCTTAAGTGAAAGCCTTTCTGGAAGTGTCCGAAGCCCTACACCCTAAACCTTGAACCTTACAAACCCTGAATCTGAAACATCCCTAAACCCTAAAAACCCTAAACCCAGCGAGCTGCATTCTCTCAGCTCATCCTGGGGCAGGCTCTGCCGCAAGGAGGAAGGCGTCTCTGGTAGGTTTTGGT